AAAATGCATACATTGTACAAAAATGAAAAATGATGTAAGAATTGTATAAAATAAAATATTAATATAAAAAAAGAAAAGGGTAACAATTTTAAAAGGAAGTTTGATCTATAGACTTCACACATTTCCAATAAAAACCCCAGCAAACTTCTTTTTACACCTATTAGCAAGCCGATTCTAAAATTTTGTTTATTTATTTATTTTAAAGATTTATTTATTTATTTATACAAGCACTGGGTACAGTCAGAAGCGCGGGAGGGTGAGAGAATTCACCAGAGCCAGAGTGGGGAGCAGAGCAGGCAGACTGACGAAATACATTGCTGAGGGGAGCAGCAGGTGGCAGGAGAGGTCTGCGCGCCATGGGGGACCCTCGCCCAGGGGCCAGGGATCGAACCAGCGCTACAGAGGCTGCAGGCAGCTTCGCAACCCAGTGCTCAACCACTGCGCCACCGGGGAGGCCTGATGATTATAAAATTTTTTTTTAAAAAAGACAAAGGAACTAGACTAGGTAAGATTCTGAAAAGGGTCTCCTTGAGCAGATGGGCAGGAGCACAGATAGAGAGGAAGGCGGTTAGCTGTGCTGCATAGCTGGTCAGATCCTGGGACACCTGCTTGCAGTGCTGTTGGATACTCCCCCCATCCTCCACAGCAAACCCTGGCCTTACAGTATACCCATCCCATGAGACAATTGAATCTGCAATATGACGCCACTCATCTTATTTCCTAAAGAATTAGCTACTGTACCAAGTAAGGGAGGCTCCACAAAGGGGTTCCTAACCATTAATTTCTGGGTCACATATGCTTATTTCTACTCTCCACCCACCTCACTGTATTCCCAACTACTGACCTATTTGCAAAGTTAGCACAGGTCTTGTGTAAAAGTTAATTCTAACCCTTACAAGTATGTCTCAAATCCTTTGGCTATCTCAAGAGGGCCTCAAAGTGTCTTCCTCTGCCCAAAGCCTAAGCACCAGCACCAGGAAACAGTTACAGCAAGTTTTAGTTTTCTCCACCATCTTTCAGTTGAAGACACTCAGGTGAGGTTCACGGAGTCACTGTGGCTTGTCCAGAGTCAAAAAACTAATAACTGGCAGGACCTGACCTCAAACCTAGGAGCTACTTTCAAATCTTGAGTTCTCTCCATCTGCCTAGTTCCTACATTTTGGGTGGCTACTGTTGAACAAAGAACCACCTCAACATTTATTTCCCTAAGACCTGTCTGGGTTAAAAGAAAGCACATGATAAACTAGCTGACACCAATTAATGGAACTGGCCACAGGCCTGTGCAGGGGCTCCTAGTTCACCACTAAATCTTCTCCTCTGTTCCAGAGGCCTGATAAAGCCTGGGCTGGGTTTATGAGCAGAAGTTGGGGGGATATCTGTCCATGCCTCCCCAAGAAGCACTTAGTCCTTTCACGCAGCTGGTTCACACCTCTGGATCTCTGCTGTCCAAATCCTACCCTCTGGGGTCCCAAACTCAAGAGGCATGTTCTTCATGAGGCCTTATCCTGCAGCCCTCAGCTGAAGGCAGCGGGAGTGAGCACTGCACTCCTCTCAGGACACTTCAGTAGGGCTGATGCTTCCTACCTGGCACCTGGTCTCAACCTGGCCTGGCCTGGGCAGAAACAGGCTATTCTTACCTCCCAGAAGCTGAGGAAGCCAAGATGCTCACTGGTACCTGGCAAAGGAGACTGTGGCAGGGGTTGTAGCCTAGGGGCCCTCTAGAGTCTACTCCTAAGCTATAACCATCCTGCTGGGAGTACCTGGTCCAAACACGGAGTACAGATGAAGAGAAAGCCCCCCTGCCCTTCTTTCTGGGATGGACACAGACTGTTGCCAATGGATGCCTTCTGGTAAGCCCATGCCTAAGTCTTGGACTTACAGACTGGGTAAGTATACACAGGCCTGGCCCCTGGTACAGGGACCAAGGCTTTGCCCTGTCTCCTTGAATAACCCAGGCAAGTTCCTGGCCTGTAAAAAAATCAGGAAAGTCCACTTTTCCTGGGGTGCTATAAGTGTATAGTTCTTTCTAACAACCAGGGGAGTGACTGAGCATCAGGTCCTGTCAGATAGGGGATGCTTAAGGAAGTCCACCTGTCCAAATTCTCTAGAAGTACTGCTCCAGAAGTCAAGCTCCTGATTACCAGGCCAGGGAACCACACTTCACTACCTCAAAAGAGGCAAGATCAGGCCTCCCAGGTGGCACAAGGGGTTAAGCACCACACTATGAAGCAATCCGCAGCCTCTGCAGCACAAGTTTGATCTCAGGCCGGACAGGGAGAAGCCATATGACAAAGCAGACCTCTCCCGTCTCGCCTGCTGCTCCCCTTAGCAGTGTATTTCAGTCAGTCTGCCTATTCTATTCTCCGCTCTGTCTCTGGTAAATCCTCTCACCCCCCACATCTTTGGCCTGTACCCCAGCTCTTGTATGCATAATCTTTTTTTTTTTTTTTTTTTAAAGAAAAAGGCAAGATCAGAGAAAAGCAGAACAAAATGAGCTGAAGGAGAACTCAATTCGGTATCTAGTGTGCCAGGTCCCTGGGCTGCTTTGAGGAAAGAAGCAGAAGCCCTGACTGTGCCCAGCTCAGCAGGCTCAGTAAGGGCCTTCAGGAGGGTCATGTGCTCTACCACAAATGACCCGTTAAAACCTAGCCAGTGAGCAGGGTCTCTCCTACCCAGAGCTCACCCACAGGAACTAGGAACTGTGCACCCCCTTTGCTTTCTTTTACACACTGCTTTCATTATGAAACGGGTACAGAGAAAAATTCAGAGAGTAACACCACACATATATTCATCTTCCCCACAGTCAACAAAAGCAACATTTTGCCGTATCTGAGACAAGATTGTCCCTCCTCTTTTTTTTTCTATTATAGAAATCACCTACTGTAACTGGTTAAAGTTTTTCTCTATTTCTGTTTCCTCCCAGCTTCCCCAGCAGCACTTTGAGGCCATGAGCTGGTGTTATTCCTGTGAGTGTGCTTACACTTCCACCACCTCACTTCACAGCCCTGACAACTTCCACACACTTGGTGATTTGTTAACAGCCCGCTCCCTCTAGAGAATATCAGCTCCACGCAGGGAAGGGCTGGATTTTGTCCACTGTTACCTCCCTGGGACCTAGACTGGTGCCCACTACAAATCAGGCAACCAACCATGTCAGTATTTGTTGCCTGAACAACACATGCGCATATCACTCTGTGTGCTGCTCATGTCTCACTTCAGAAGCCTGCTTCTTCTTCCACTCAACCCCATCTGAGATTCAATCACATGGTCACATTCCAAGTTCTCTACTGTGTAACCCAGCCACCCGCCTGATAACCAGTGACCCTTCTCTTTTCTCATCAAGGAGAAGGCGGGTCAGAGAAAGCACCTCCCGGCAAGCAGAGACAGTTCAGAAATTGGGACAAAGCTCTAGCCAGTCAATGACTGCGAGTCTTAAGAACAAACCAGAAGAAAACCAAAGAGCCCCTCCGCAATTACCACAGAATGGGAGAAACTGTACAGGTACCCAAGTTACTCAAAGCGAGGGTCACTCCAGAAAGGAGCAACCACCTGATCTTCATCTCTCTGTCACCAATGATGAAGCCCTCCTGGGTTGTTGGGGGCAGAGGCAGCGGAGGTGGTGAAAGGGGAGGAAGGGGCCTAAGGCCCAACAAGAAAGCACAGAGCTCAGTGTTAGGGTGGCAAAGGTTCCAGCACCAGCATTTAGCATCACCAGATTCTCAGTACAGAGCTATTACCATCTCTGAGCACACAGAAGTGGCAAGGATCCTGAGGAACTGCTTTGAGCATGGTGTACATGCGCTTTGTAAACTGTCGAGTCACATGCTCACACATATCCACACGCCCATGTGGACTTGAAAAAGCCCGGTCCTGTATGAAATGGGCTCCTAAATACGAAGACAAAGATGCATCTGGAGAGGGTTCCACCACACTGGTGAAGGGAAATGAACTGTGACATCAGGAAGGCCTGCTCCCATGCTCCCACCCAGCTTCCTCCAGGGACAGCCCTCCCCTCCTACTGCCTACCTTCTAGGTATCAAGATCTGCTCCCCCAAGTGAAAAGGACTCTGCACAGGCCACGTGCCTGAAGACACTGCTCAGGGAGAGGACATCACGATCCCCTGCTACACAGACATTAGAAGAAAACACTAATGGCCTGATCCTAAGCAGAGCTCTCCAGCCACCTCGTGACCCCAGCCCAGGGCTGGGTATGGGCAGAGGGCACAAGAGCCCTGAACTGCAGGCCCAGAAGTGCTAGTCAGACACGAAGGCTCCTCTGACTACCTGGGACCAACTGCCAGCTCCACCCTTCCCCATACCTGGTTCTGCAGACAATTTCTTGGGCATTTTTTATGCAAAGCAGCATCTGAAGCATTGTAGAAGTTCCTGTCCTGGAGACTAGGGAGGGGGGAGAGTGAGCCTGCAACCACAGGGAAGTGGTGGTAAATGAGGCAACTGAAGCTGACGAACAGGTGACAGGATTTGGTAAAGTAAAACAAAAACTCTACATGAACTGCTGAGCGGGGTGGGAACACAAAGAGAAAGTGGAATCCTCTGAGCTGAGCTTGCTGTGAAGACATGTCAAAAACAGAGAGGAGATGAGAAGGAATTCCAGCATGTTCAGGAAGTGCTGAGTGGCCAGGGGTGGGTCAGGGGAACCAGAGGAGGCTGGAACAGAGCAGCTGACCCAGGCAGAGCTTGGCACACCCAGTGAGAAGTCTGGACCTGATCTGGCAGGCGCTGTAGAACCACGTCACACAGGGTGTTTGATGAAATGATGGGAAGGTTCGGAAGAAAATACTAATGGCTGGGTGACAGCCGGTCAGTGGAGGAGAAGGCACAGGGCTCCAATGAGGGAGAAGGGTGAGGATGTCAGGTCTGAACAGAGGCCCATGGTGGAGAGGAAGCAATTTGGTAGCAACTGGGAAGCAGAGTTGGGAAGACGTGGAAACCAGCAGGTGTGGAGGAGCATGCCTGGCAGAGGGGTGTCCAGCAATTACCTGTGCTTCTCCCCTTCTTCCTCCCCTTCTCTGAGCTGCTTGGTCTTTGGCTCCCCATCTTCTTTGTCCTGCAGAGGAAGAAAGAAAAGCACCTGCTCAGATGAACAGTCCTACTCCCAGTCACAGCACAGGTAGCTGACAAAGCACAGGCAATCACAGAAGCCAGCCACCCTGTTAGCACCACGTGGCATGCCAGCTCCAAGCAGGATGCATGCCTGCTGCAACTGACAGCAGCAGGGCTGGAGCCTCACTCCTGACCACTCAATTCCCCTGGCAGCATTAAAAAATCCGTTGGCCCCAGGGTGGGCCTCAAGGAACACTAGCAGGAGGAGATGGAAGATTTTAGATAGTAAAAAATTATTTTAGTCGGGGCCACAGAGGGCCCACACAGGCAGGCCACTAGCTACTTTCATGGGTCTAGATGAAGCCACACACCTAGCTGGGAGAGACTGTCAGGAGCAGCGGCCACCAGCTCAGGCCTCCCGATTCCCCCTTCAGACCAGGGGCCTCTCCAGATGTTCCTGTTTGGTCTCCTTTAGGAGCAGAACTCACACTAGGACTAAGCTTATAAACAAGATTCACTCTTGCCATGTATTCAGAGAGACAGAGGGAAGGGGAACTAGTTGTAAGTTTCCATGTGAAATTTTTCTATTAAGTCTGGTTCTTTTGTCTTCCACATGCCACCCGCCCTCCCCACCCCACCCCCATGCCCCAATATCCTTTAAGTCTAGAGGAATCATGTTCATCTTGTCTGCTGGGTGCACCAGGGACCACAACAGGGCACCACCACGCTGCTTCCACCTGCAGCAGAAAATGCCTTCCTGAGCTTTCCCCCTTTCTACCTGGTTACTGCCCTGGAGATAGATAAGCAAGGTATGCACACATGTGTGCACTCAAATGAGTCACCACACACTTGGTGTATGGGGGAGAGACTCCAGGGTCTCCCTGCACACCAGGGCCAGCCCACCAGAAGGTGTCAATGTGCACTTCATCACGGCCAGCGACCTGCCTTTCACTCTCACTGGAACATTGTTCTGAGGAGACATCTGTAAGCCCAGGCAAGCTGTAGTGATAGATAGAATAAGCTGGAGCTGACATACACACTATAAGTAAAAAAATTACTTGACCATCTCCTAGAAGCTTGTTTTTGCCACAGATATCTGCCTCCCTGAGAATGGCTTTTGCTTTATGCGTCGCTTCCTGCCGATGTTCACCATGGAGACCCTGAGAACAGCCAGACCCCCATTCCTTGGCCGCACACTTATGGGGGAGGCCACCAAAGCTGGGAGGAGGCCTGGTTCTGAAAAAGTCTTTTACAATGTGAACAGATTAATTTCCCTTTCGTTCCCTCATCCTAGGGCAGTTCGGTCTCATGGGGATGAGGCAGCAGGAAAAAGTGACAGCAGCTACATGAAGTCAACATGATTCTGTCAGGTGGGTGGGAGACTTCTACAGAAGTGGGGAGTTGCTGGATGGGGAGACTGGATATGAAGGCCCATCCTGGAGGAGAGCATAGCTTGAGCAGAGGTGGGGTATGGTCTGAGAACATGCAGGTGATTGAAGCAGCAGTCAGGGTGAAGATGATGCCATGCTGTCAAGGCAGATGGACCCATCATAAGGGTTCTGGCAACGGGAGCCAGACGACTTGCTAGGCAGGAAGACTCTGGGGTAGAGAGACATTCATCTGGTGATGACCAAAGAGGGAAGAGATGGCAGAGTACAAACTTCCAAATAAGAAACAAGTTAGAGGTCTCCACGTGGCCCCCAGGGCTGCTGGGGTGTGGTGGGACCTTCCACAGGGGCCCAACTGACACAAGCACCCCTCCCAGACTAAATACTAGCTGATTAAGCAAACCAGAAGCTGAGCATTCAGACCTAAAGCTCCTTCCCAACTGCCAGACTCCCTGGTGGCCAGGGGAAGGGAGTGCAGGACGCCTCTCATGGTGAGTAAGGACAGAGGTAGAAGAACAGCTTTCTCCAAGGCAGGTTGATGGCAGCCCCACAGAAAGCTGCTTTCCAAGTTGGGGTGATTAACCTGAGCCAGCTGGTAGAAGACGGTAGGGACTTCAGGAATAGCCTTTGGGAGGCAGCCTTTGCAAATATCATGCCTTCCCAGTCCTTGAGCAAGGACAAACTCTACAGCCATTACTGCCACCACCCACCCAAGTCCCAGAGACATTCAAGTGCCTCCACAAAGGCCAAGCTATTCATTAACAAGTGAGAAAACACCCCACCATATAAATGACATTTAAAAAACTACCCAGAAGCCTGGCGGGGTCAGGGGGTTGCGCAGCTTCAGCTCTGCAGACAGTATGAGGTTATGAATGACCCCAGCCTGGGATGCTATGCAAAGAGCAGGGACACAAACAGACCATGTCAGTAGAGGAGCAGGGTGCCAAAGCATATTCCATTCTTCCTGCTAAATTCAGCAGGATTATGAGCATTCTTGAGAAAGAAAATACCTTTTGGGCAATCTGGCCTAGGTCACAAGGCATGCCCTCATTGCCTCGACGGTGGCAGGATGTGCAGACCAACCTCATGACCCACCCCAGCAAGAGGACAGACTCAGGGCCTCCCCTGGTGACACAGCAGTTGAGCGCTGGGCTGCAAAGCTGCCCGCAGCCTCTGCAGCGCCAGTTCAATCCCCGGCCACCGGCGAGGGTCCCACATGGCGCGCAGACCTCTCCTGCCACCCACTGCTCCCCTCAGCAGTGTGTTTCGTCAGTCTGCCTGTTCTGTTCCCTGCTCTGGCTCTGGTGAATTCTCTCACCCTCCCGCGCTTCTGACCTGTACCCAGTGCTTGTATAAATAAATAAATAAATCTTTAAAAAAAAAAAAGAGGACAGACTCAAGGGCTGGGGGAGGCCATTGCCTATCAGGTCCTTGATTCAACCAACAAGGACCCCTGAGAAATGACTGTCAGGGAAAGGAAAAGGATTTGCCAAGGTCACAGAGCCTGTCAGTGGTCGCTGCAGGTCTGAATCAAGGTCCCCCTGCCAGTTTCCCGTCAGGATATGAGATAGTATATCAAGGGTGGCACTTAGTTTCTAAAAACAGCTGATCCTCATTCCCTCTCCAGTGCGCCCCACCCTGCAGATCTGGATGTGTCCACAGATCAGACCTGACACAGCAGCAGTATCTGGGTGTCAGCCCCATGAACACCCAGCAAGAGTGCAGATGCACAGCATCCCCAGGGAATCTAGAGACACCTCACCTACCCCAGACCCTTAAATCCTGCTCACTGCCTAACCCCTCCCTACACACACCCTTCCCAAATCTCCCCACCACTTCCCAAATAGCTATTCGCCATTACTTCCCCTCTCCTATGCCACCCTGTAGGTTCCCACCAACACCCAGCCTGAAGCCATATTCCCCTTCGCCCCAGCCTGCCAGAGCCCTCTACTCTGGAGAAGTCAACTGCCTGCTGTGCTCTGTCCTTCCTCAGGGGCAGCTGTGCTGGGGCAGGAGTACACGCCGCTCCCTCTCCGCTGCCTGGGCTCTCCTTTCCAGCAGAGTGAGGGAGGCAGGCAAGGGTGAAGAGACATTCCAACTTCTGATCTAGGTTCCTCCCACCATTACAGTACACTGAAGCAGTTGGGAACCCAATAGGAGGAAATGGTGGGGGGGGGGAGCAGCACAGAAACTCTTCCCAACGCCAGGTAAATATGCCTCATTAGCTCTGAGTATGCCTCGCATAATGGAAATGATCCTTCTGTTCAATGATCAAGAGAGAACAATACCCCAAATCCTAGGTGAAACTGGCCCCAATTTGAGCCTTTCCAATTCAGTTTTGGGCTCAGGGTGGAGAAAACTGAAAGACAGGGGGCACAGAGACCTGGGGAAGGCAGGGAGGGGAGCAGGAAGGGACTGAATGTAAAGGCAAACCTGGCAGGTTTCACAACTTCACCCTGTTGCTGTCCTCAGAGCCAGATCAGCCTAGTGGTGGGGTGGAGGGACTTCCTGTGAGCTGCACTCCAAGGGCACTTAAGGGGTAGGGCAGTCACCCGCAGCCTGACTCACCCTGAAGATACAGTGATAAGGCCTGGGCTAAATGCCACCATTCCGGGCTGCAGAAACTGCCCAGTCCTTGACTGCCCAGAGACTGGGGGAGGGTTTGGGAGAGGGCATGCTGATTCTTCTGGGCTGACAGCAATCCCTCAATCTGGGCCCCAGGCATTCAATTTGCTGCTAGGACTATCTGACCCATGTGCCCACTCTGTCTGCTCAGCAGGCGGCAAGTTCCTTGAGGGTAGATGCTTGTCTTACCTGCCTGTCCTGGCTGGACACGACTTACAGCAGGCACAGCACAGAGAGCCATGTGGGCTCGGGCTAGAACACAACCGGCAATCAGGCTCAATTTTGTCCTGCTATGTGACCGTGGGCAAGATATTCAAAATGTCTAGCCTCAGTTTCCTCATGTTTGAAAACAAAGACAATCATACCAACATCATGGCACTATTACAAGAATGAAATGACAAGGGAGGAAAGAGAAGAGCCTGCAGTTGGACGGGACAAGGGAGCAGACCCTGAAGGACAGGAAGAGGTGAGCTAGGGCAGTGAAGTCACAGGCCCAGACTGCTTGCATCTGCTGAGGACATGATAAGCTTTCACTTTCATCGTTCACATCCAGTGTTCTCTGCAATCCCGAGAGCAGACAGCAGCATTGTAATATCTGCTAATATCTGCTTCACAAGACATCAGACGTGTCAGACAATCTGTGGAGGACCCAGATCTGATTCCCTGTTCAGTGCTTCACCAAGATTTAGATTCAGGGTTGGGAAGGGGAGGGGGTGGGGGGAGGGTCCTAATATCTAAAAACCTTAGGTTAACCAAAAGTTGTAAGTTTTCCATGGGCACAGACATTCCTTCAAGGCGCGCGTGTGTGTGTGTGTGTGTGTGTGTGTGTGTGTGTGTGTGAGAGAGAGAAAGAGAGAGAGAGAGAGACAGAGAGACAGAGAGACAGAGAGACAGAGAGAGAGAACAAAGTGCCAGGGGCCAGAGGCCGGGAGAACAATAAGCAAGCCCTCTAGAGATAAGGACTGTAGATAAGAGCCGGAACTAGGGCAGT